TTCACTCTAAATCTGTGTTTGTTTTTAGAGCTGAGATGTGTTCCTGGAAGCAGCATATTATTGGGTCTTTTTTTTTTCAATCAATCCAGCCATTCTGTGTATTTGATTGGAGAATTCAACCCGTTTACATTTAGAGTGATTGGATGGATAAATGAAGGTGTAATGCTGCCGTTTTATTACTTCTTTTCCAGTTGTTCTATATTTCCTTTGTTTCTTGTCCTGTGTATTTCAGACTGCCAGTTCAGTTTGGTGCGTCTCTATGATGGTTTTCTCAGTTTTCTCTTTATTTATCATTTGTGTCACTGTTCTGATTTTTCATTTAGTGGTTACTGTGAGGTCTGTTTAAAAGATCTCATAGATGAGATAGTTCATTTTCTTTTCTTTTTTTTTTTTTAAATTTAATTTTTCCTTTTTCTCCCAAAGTCCCCCAGTACATAGTTGTGTATTTTCAGTTGTGGGTCCTTCTAGTTGTGGCATGTGGGTTGCTGCTGCCTCAGCATGGCCTGACGAGCAGTGCCACGTCCGCACCAAGGATTTGAACCGGTGAAACCCTGGGCCACCAAAACGGAGCATGGAAACCCAACCACTTGACCAAAGGGTCGGCCCTGAGATAGCTCATTTTCTAACAGCCTCTTATTTCCTTATTCTAAGCAGGTTCTATCCCTTTACTCTTCCCCATCTAAGTTATTGTTGTCACAACTTATTCTGTTTTGTGTTGTGAGTTTGTGGTTAAAATGAAGTGATTACATTTATTCTTGATGTTTTCCTTCCCTTTATCTTGAATGTTAAGATTGTTTGCTAACCTGTTCTGATAGAGAGTTGCACTTTTCTGATTTTGTCTGCCTATTCATCTTCTTGCTCAAGGCTTTGTAAACCTTTTCTTTTTTTTCAGGTATGAAGGCCTTCTTGAGCACTTCTTGTAGGAGAGGTCTTGTGGTGATAAACTCCCTTAGCTTTTTTTTATCTGAGAAAGTTTTTATTTGCCCATCATATCTGAAAGATATTTTTGTTGGATAGAGTATTCTTGGCTGAAGGTTTTTTTCTTTCAGAATTTTGAATATATCATACCACTCTCTCCTAGCCTGTAAGGTTTCTGCTGAGAGATCTGCTGAAAGCGTGATAGGAGTTCCTTTGTAGTTTATTTTCTTCTGCCCTGCTACTCTTAATATTTTTTCTTTGTCATTGACTTTTGCCAGTTTAGTCTTATTTCACTCTCCTCCACCAGCTGAAGGATTTCTGTATTTCTGTCCTCTAAATTGCTAATTCTGTCCTCCATAAATCAGCTCTGTTATTTAAGGACTCCAGATTTTTCTTTGTCTTGTTATTGTCTTTTTCATCTCCAACATTTCTGATTGCTTTTTCTTTATATTTTCAATCTCTTTTGTGAAGAATTCCCTCTGTTCATTAATATTTTTTTTTTGAGGAAGATTAGCTCTGAGCTAACTACTGCCAATCCTCTTCTTTTTGCTGAAGAAGACTAGCCCTGAGCTAATATCCATGTCTATCTTCCTCTGCTTTATATGTGGGACGCCCACCACAGCATGGCTTGCCAAGCAGTTCCATGTCTGCACCCGGGATCCGAACCGGCGAACCCCAGGCCACCAAGAAGAGGAACGTGCACACTTAACCGCTGCGCCACTGGGCCAGCCCCCCGTTCATTAATTTTATTACTGATTCCATTGAACTGTCTTTCTGAGTTCCCTTGTAACTTGTTGAGTTTTTTTACAATAGCTATTTTGAATTCTTTTTCATTTAGATTGTAAATTTCTGTGCCTTCAGCATTGATTTCTGGGTGTTTGTCTTTTTCTTTCTGGTCTGGAGTATTAATATACCTCTTCATAGTATTTGATGGGATGGATTTGCGCCTTTGCATGGTGATAATATCTGATCACAGATTCCACCTGCCACCACTTGCGGGAGGCAGAAGCTGTGTATTCTGAGCCCGCCGCAGTCCCTGTCAGCTGTGTCTGTCTGAGCCTGGGCCACTCCTTGGGACCATAGCAGCCCTTTGGACTCTCCCACCAAATGGGAAAGCAATCACACGGGGCTCAGAGCTGCCACCACTTGCTCCAACAGTCCTGCCAAGATGCTTTCTTCCCTTTGGGGCTGCGGTCTAATGTACTATGGGCATTTGCAGCAGCTGGGAACTCATTCACCTGGGCATGCAGATTCACCACCGTCTCCTCCTCGGTCACACCAGCTGTTGTGCTTGGTGGGCAGGACCTCCTCACTGGATCTGAGCTTGGGCCACTCCCTGGAGGCTGCAGCAGCACTGTGGCTCTCCCACAAGACAGGAAAGCGATCATGCAGGGGCTCAGAGCTGCTGCTGCCTGTTCTCACAGTCCTGCCGAGACCCACTCCCCTCTTTGGGGCTGTAGCAGTACTCTGGGTGTTCGTGGCAGCCAGGAACTTATTTGCCCCAGCACACAGATCTGCTGCCATCTCCTCCTAAGTCTCAGTAACTGTTGTGCTTGCTGGGCAGGGCCTCCACACTGGGTCTGAGCCTGGGCCACTCCCTGGGGCCATGGGTGGCAGCTGCCTGTGGGCTCTTCCACTGGACAGGAAAGCAATCATGCAGGGGTTCAGGGCTGCTGTCACCTGTTCCTGAAGTTGCACCAAGGTGCACTCCCACCCTTGTGGCCACAGTGTTGCTATGGGCCCTCCAGCCAGGAGAGCAGTCACTTGTGTGCACAGGGCTGCTGGGGGTGCTGGAGAGTGCCCACCTATCTCCACCACCTCCTGGGGGTAGTCTGTCCCCCTTCAGATGTATAGCTGTGTGGGTCTCTCAGGCATCCACTTGTACTGTTTTGGTATCCTCCATTGATCAATGAATATCCATTTAGTTGTAGTTCAGAGAGGGAGAGATAAAGGGAACAGCTCACTCTGCCATGTTGCTGACGTCACTCCTAAAATCTCTTTTATCTCATATAGCATTTCATTGTCTCTCCAAATCTAACATAATCTAGGAAAATGTTCAGAGTGATTTAAAAAGAACTGAACACTTTGCAAAATTTTTATTATACAATAACTGCTTATATATGTGAATACATAGTTAAGACCAATGTGTATATATGTGTACTATACATACATAGTTTAAAAAGCATTTTGTAAAGAAATTTCCATTGTTATTTCCACAGTCTTACAAATACTCAGCATGTGCCTTGTGTCACTTGGCACATGTCTGTACTGTAGTATAATTCATATTAGACCTTTGTAGCGTATCATATCAGTGTTTGAAATGTCAGCCATGATGCAGCCCTTTGTTTCCTCAAAGTTGCACATTCCCACTTGAATACTATACGTTCACATAAAACCTAGTTACTGAGTAATATATTTTTAAAGTATTTATTTTTGTGTCACCTTGTATAATGCTACTGCCAAAAAAGACTCAGTCTTCCAACTTAATGAGAAGATTATATGTCTCTGAATGACAGGGTTTTTTTCATGTTGTTTTTTTTTTTTACCTGATTGTAAAATAAGACAGATACAAAGAGTGTAAATAACAAATGTATAGCTTAATGAGTGAAAATAAGGTGAACACATTTGAGACCATCTCTCAGGTTAATACAGTAAATAGGACTTTGTCAGCTACCCTGAAGCTCTTCCGTGTGCCCCATCCTGATCACAACGCCTTCCTTCTCTACAAACGCAACCTCTAGCCTGCTTTTTATAATAATCATGTCCTTGCTTTTCTTTGTAGTTTTATGACCCAACTCTTGACCTCTAGGCACTTAATCTTGCTCATTTTTCAAAATTATATGTCTTTTGAGTATCTTTTAGCTTACAGGTTCTGTCTCCACCCTTTTCTTTTCCTTAGAATTTGTCTATTAAAGAATCTAGCTCTTGACTTGTGAAGTTTCCCTCGATCTGAACTTTCTGGATTGTATACTCATGGTACATATTTCTCTCTCTTTGTCTTATGTGGAAATCAGTAACTGGATTTGGAGGCTTAATTGGACTCATGTTTGATCCCTTCAGTAGGACCCTTAGGTGTTGTGCTCTTTCATTAGGGAAGTCAATAATGTCTGGTTGTTTTTCTTTCTGTGATGTTTGCAGTTGTTGACACTTAATACCTCATTCTGTTAATTCATTGGGGATCATGGTGATATTCTAATAATTTCTTCTTCACTTATTAGTTGGATTACTTTTATTAAGACCCACTTCCCATTATATACATTTGGTTACACAATGGTACGTGAACCATAGTTTAAGATAAGTATATTAACCTGTGTAAATGGGAGATTCTGAGATAGACTTAATTTTGAACAGAACCTCTTGATGCTGAATGGGAGCTTGATAAATCTGGAGAAGTTAATTAATACATTTATTTGATGAATACTTATTGAGTGCTTATTCTGAGTCACACATAATGCTAGCTGTTGGGGTACACTGGTGAGTGGGTCCGTCTAGTGGGGGATTATGATAATAGCTATGAAGGAGATGTTTCAGGGGGACCTGACTGAAATTGGTGGGTCAGGGAAGGCCTCTCTCAAGAAGTATAATTTAACTTGAATCGGGAAGGATGAGTTGAAATTACTCAGGCAAAGAAAGAAAGGAAGGTTTCAGTCAGAGAGGATATTATATATAATGGCCTTTTGCTGGGAAAGAGCTTGGCCTATTGAAAGATCAGAAAAAAAGGCCGATGTAGCTATAGCATTGTGAGTTAGGGGAGAGGGTTACCTTAACAGGCAAATAGGAACCTAATCACATAGTAAGACCTTCTAAATAGTGTTTGATATCTTGAGATTTATTTTAGGTGGAGTATAGAAAATTTTACCCACAGAATTATAGTAGGGTCTGAGCCTATCTAAAATACATCTCTTTAGCATCTGTGCCCCTCCACAGGATGCCTGTTCTGGATGGGTTGGAAAGTAATCATTTCCATTTGTTTCAAGCCTTACATAGCTATCCTGGATGCCATCTATACAAGTGATGTTTGGGTAAAGAAAGTTAGAAAGTTGAAAGGAATCCTAAAAGCTAACCTCTGGCTATGTTCAAAGGTGTCTGGAGAAGCCAATGAAACTCAGATTGCAGAAGCATTGAAGCGGTACAGTGAACGAGCATTCTTTGTCCGGGAAGCTCTGTTTCACCTGTTTAGCCTGACTCATGTGATGGAAAAAACAAAGCCAGAAATTTTAAAGGTAAGAGTAAGAAACTGGATACAGAAATTTTTAAATTCTCTCCCTGGATAGATGATAGTTTTGTGAAGAACATTGGTGAAAATTTGCTTTTAGTCTTTGATTTTTCTTTGTAATGGGATTGATGATGTGTGGTTTTAGTTATCAGCTATAAAGGAGAAAGAACGTAGTTACATAGTGTTATTGAAGTTTTATAGTAGTCTCATTAAACAATGTAAATGCCTTCCTGTTCATATTAACTGCCTAAAACCTATAACCAGTGTGATCTTTTTTCACCAGCTAGTAGAAAATAGAAGTATATTACTGGAATCAGGACACTGCATTGTATATTCACCTTGTATTGCTTCCTTATAGGGTCTTTTTAGAAATACAGTATTGGGGCTGGCCCCGTGGCCGAGTGGTTAAGTTCGCGCGCTCCGCTGCAGGCGGCCCAGTGTTTCATTGGTTCAAATCCTGGGCGCGGACATGGCACTGCTCATCAAACCACGCTGAGGCAGCGTCCCACATGCCACAACTAGAAGGACCCACGACGAAGAATATACAACTATGTACCGGGGGGCTTTGGGGAGAAAAAGGAAAAAAATTTAAAAAAAATAAAATCTTAAAAAAAAATGAAATATAGTATTGGATTTCCAGAAGGCACTTTTCCATATCATTGATGAACTTCCTATGCTTTCATAACTAATCTGTATTATTCCTCAATTAAAGTATTTTAACCAAGACAGCTTTTGAAGGCTAAGAAAGGAAGATTCTTAATTTTGTTGATGGCTTAGAGCAGTTATTTGTCAGAATGTGGTCCTTTGTCCACCAGAAGTCTGGAATATTGTTTATTTTAAAAAGTGTAATTGTGAACCCCACCCAAGAAATTTAGATTCTATAGGGCTGGATGAGGTACAGGAATCTGCATTTTAATAACCCCCCAAGATAATCTTTATGCCCGTGCAATTTTGAGACCAGTGAGTGTAGGACTTTGTTATGTTTGGTACCTGACTGAGTGGGCACAACAGTCCCAAGAGATAAGTTTTATCTTCTGTTTTACAGATTTTGTGACTGAGGGTCTGTGAGGTTAAGTATCAATGAATGGCAGAACCAGAAATGACTTAACCTCCCAGGTATCTTAAATTTTGAGAACGGGGTGCTTGCATAGGAGCCAGTAATGTTTCAGTCCCTAGGATGTTATCCCCAACACCTGTTACCCTTTCCATACGTACCAGAAGATATTGGCACTTGCTTTCTGCATTATGTTTTTTAGTTTGGGTTACTGTGAACCTGAGCAACAAAAGACTAGACCTCTAGTCCTGATCTGAAATATTTACTCATTCATTCATTCAGAGAATGATGCAGAGAGAAATGAAAAGAATATAAGCAATTCTCTTAAGGAGTTTTGCTGCAAAGTGGAACAAAGCAAAAAGGTGATACTTGGCTGAGGAAGTAGATTTTTTGTTTGTTTGTTTGTTTTTAAAGTATGCTTTTTTGGTGAGGAAAATTGGCCCTGAGCTAACATCTGTTGCCAATCTTCCTCTTTTTTCTCCCCAAAGCCCCACTACATAGTTGTATATTATCCTAGTTGTAGGTCATTCTAGTTCTTCTATGTGGGATGCCACAACAGCGTGGCTTGATGAGCAGTGTGTAGGTCTGCACCCAGGATCTGAACCAGAAAACCCCAGACCACCAAAGTGGAGTACACGAACCTAACCACTTGGCTGCAAGGCCAGCCCAGGTTTTTGGGTGGTTTTGTTTTGTTTTAAGATGGGAGAAAACTTAGCTTGTTTGTATGCTGATAAGAATGGTCCAGTACAGAATAAAAAATTGATGTAGGAGTGAGAAGGGAGAACAGATGAAGCAACGTCCTTGCGTAGATAAGAGGGGAAGGATCTAGCATATAAGTAGAAGGGTTACCTTTAGAGAGGAGCCCAAAAAGATCATTTATGGTAACAGACAGGAAGGCAGCAGATACATGTGTGTGTGCTGGTAAGGGGGGTGCATGTGGTAGTGGGAATCTGAAGTTCTTTTGTGATTGGCTTCAGTTTTCTCGGTATAGTTGGAGCGAGGTCTTCAGCTGATAGTGAAGAATGGGGAGGATTTGTTGGGATTTCGAGGAGAGAAGAAAAAAGTGAGAAATAGTTATCTAGGCCAGAGGGAAGTGAATGGATTTTATTGTACTCTAACTGTAGTGCTGTTCTCAAAGAAGTGAATGTTGGAATTTCAAAGTGAAGTGTGCCACTAGTTTACTCTAGTCAAGTCAGTAAGAATTTATTTAGTGCTTAGCATGTAACAGGCACTGTACTAGATCTTGGAAATACAAAGATGAGGTTACCTGAATAGAAAAGATTCATTAGCCTGACAGAAAAATCTCTGGACATGAACAGCTTGATACCTACCTTGACCAGGTGGGCAGGAACTAAATATTGGTGAGTAACTGCTTTGTCCTAGGCTCTTTGCACATGAGGATAAAAAAGATATACTTGGAGCTGGCCCGGTGGCGCAGTGGTTAAGTTCGCACATTCTGCTTCTCAGCAGCCCAGGGTTCGCTGGTTCGAATCCCGGGTGCGGACATGGCACAGCTTGGCACGCCATGCTGTGGTAGGCGTCCCACATATAAAGTAGAGGAAGATGGGCACGGATGTTAGCTCAGGGCCAGGCTTCCTCAACAAAATAGAGGAGGACTGGCAGTAGTTAGCTCAGGGCTAATCTTCCTCAAAAAAAAAAAAAAAAAAGATGTACTTAAGACATCTTAAAACCTATTATAGATCAACAAAGGTAATGTTGCTATGTGAATAGGGCTTGTATTTATAAGGTGGATTAAGAGAACTAATTCTTTTTCCAGCTTGTGGTTACTGGGATGAGAAACCACCCTATGAATTTGCCAGTGCAACTTGCTGCGAGCGCCTGTGTGTTTAACTTAACCAAGCAGGATCTCGCCGCAGGAATGCCTGTTCGACTCCTGGCTGACGTGACCCATCTGCTGCTCAAAGCCATGGAACATTTCCCCAATCACCAGCAGGTAGACGTGTGGGAATTCTCATTCAGATAGTCCTTCTACAGTTCAGTTTAGCAGACCAAGGCTGGCAATTTAAATGCCTTCGGCGTCTGTAAAGTAATAAACTTGTGGTATGACTGAGTATAGGACAACAGAGAAGTAGAAAACTAAAGAGTGCATTCCCTGCTTAAAAGTATTTAAATCCAAATGTTGAAGGAAATAGTGCAAGCCATATAAACTCATCTTCCACCCAGATCTTGAGTTTGTGATGATTTCAGCAAACAGGCATAGAGCGTCTGTTCTCGGCTAGGCACTCTCAAGTCCTGGGATACAGAAATGAGTAAGACGTGGATTTTCTATTTCTAGCAGTGTGGTGGACTACATAATCTGTCCTGTCCTCAGGATGAAAACTAAAAATGCTGCTTGAATTATATTTTTAACTCTTAAAATTTAGCAGTGAGTTGGCAAGTTAGTAAAAAATACTCAGAGGCCGAAAACCAAGTAAAATTGGCAACTCAGATTGGTGAGTGGATCATTAAACCCAGCTTCGCTCATTGAGGTCAGTTGATGAACTAGATGAACTTTAGGCTTTGATTTTCGCGGCCTCTGGATGCCAGATAGACAGAAGACAAGGCAGGATCCACCCAAAGGTCACCAGAAGGGAGGGAGATTAGCTGGAATTATCCTATTTCTCATCTAATGGAAAAGACAAAAAAAAAAATATGCAAGTAAACTTATATGTGTCTAGTGGAAATCAGTCTTTCAACAGTAGGTGGGCAGAATAAATAAGAAATAAGTGGTGTTTCATCAGTGGCTTCTTCCTTTTTTTATAGAGGCTACCCCAGGTTAGAAAATAACAAACCAATATTTTATTCATGATTTTTCTTTTCTCTCTTTGGTTCTTTAGTTACAGAAGAATTGCCTCCTTTCACTTTGCAGTGACCGGATCCTTCAAGATGTTCCATTTAACAGGCAAGTGATAACCCTAGAATTTAAAATGGGGTAAAATCTGTCTTGGCTCATTTCTTCCCAGTTAAATATCCCTGGTGTACAATTAATCAAGTGGATGGTATTGGCATTGCCTTATAGGATGCTAAATCTTCTTCTCTAATTTAGTGCTTTGACATTCATGATACGGATTGGCCCCTGTTTTCATAGCCCTATGCTTGATAATTTATATTGCTTATAGTTTTTAGAATATTGTGGGCCAAAGAAACTGAGGCATACAGAGATTCAGTGTCTTGCCCATAGTTTTTGACCCGTAACTGCAAGGCTAGAAAGACACATCTCTCGTTCTAGGTCCAGTGTACTTTCCTCTGTGTCATACCTTATTCTTATTGTTTATTTGATATTGAATTATAGAAGAAACTTTTTAAGCAGAGGTTAAAGGAGGCCATATAGTTGGATTCCAGTAAGTATAAAGGATTCCCTTGTTTTCTGAGATGTTATGATTTGGGAGCTGAAAAGGTGATTTTTTTCATTTTACTATTTTAAAATAGTTTTTTAATAATGGTATTTTCAAAAATAAATTTATATTTTATGTTGTAATGAAAAGTATATTTCTCAAGCAGAAATTTTACTGTGATTTGCTTTTATTTGGCTAACAGTACACTGTTATCTGGCCTGGTTGAGGAATGAGGTGTTTCATCTACTTTTTGAAATAAATAGTTTGGATAAAAATACAACTACGTATATCTCATGTAGATTACTAATTTTATTTTATGAATATTGAGCATCTGTACTGATCACATGAAGTCATAGGTAGGAAAGATATAGTCACTCCCCTTAAGAAAATTGTAAACTAGCCCAGGGGTTAGCAAACTTTTCCTTAAAGCACAAGATAATAAGTATTTTAGGCTTATGAGTCATAGAGTCTCTGTTGCAACTACTTAACTCTGTCGTTGTACCTCTGAAGCACCCATAGACAATATATGAACAAATGGGGTAAGTATGTTCCAATAAAGCTTTAGAAAACAGACAGCTGGGCCCACAGCTATAACGTCACTGTGAGTGGGCTGTGGTTTGCCAATGCACCGTGCAGAATTGAGCTTCTCTGTGGTCAGAGACTGTGATTGGTTAATCTCTTTATCTCTAGTGCTTAAATGGATGTTGGATGGATGGATGCATGAATGAATGAATGAGTAAATAGAAGACAGAATTTCTGATAATAGAGGATGGCAGAATGCATTGGGCCCCCAGGTGAGGAGGGAAAGATTCCATCTGATTGGTGATCATTAAAGATTTCATGTTAGTGATGGCATTTGAGATAATAAAGGTAACAACTAACGTGTGTGAACCACTTGCTATTGCCAGGCACTGTGCTAAGTGCTTTACATATGCTAATTCCATTCTTACAACTGTCCTTTGAAATTGTTGCTCTTGTAATCTTCATTTTACAGATGAGGAAACAGAGGCACAGATTTAGTAACTTGCTCAAGGTGAGAAGATAGTAAGTAGTAGAATTTAGATTTAAATCCAGAGTGGCTCCAGAGCCTCTACTTTTTACGTCCATGCTGTATTCCTTCAAAGATGAGAACTGGTTGAGCTGATTGTTTTACGTTGTGGGAAATGCATGAATGAGGCATAGAGGAAGTCAAGAAGTCAATAATAATACTAGTAAAACTTAACCTGTGTCAAAGGCTTGGTATGTGCCAAGTTCTATACTAAGTCTAAGCTTTGTATGTGATATCATTTAATCCTCACAACAGTCCTATGGAATAGATCTTGTTATTTTACAGATGAGAAAACTGAAATTTGGAGAGATTAGGGAACTTGCCCAGGGTCCCAAAGTTAGTAAGTGATAGAGGTGATGTTTGAATCCAGGCTGACTCCAAAGTGTATGATGTTCTTAACGACTTCACTGCATTGCCTCACGTGATAAAATAATTTATTTTATTATTACCATTAGCATTAGGTAGAACTAGAATTCAAACCCCAAATTCAAACAACTTCAGAATCTGTGCCCTTAACTGCCAGGCTATATTACCTCATGATTGTGGGCATGTTTCGGGACTAATGAGCAGTCCACTTTGCAGTAATCATAGAGTAGGCAGGAAAAAAGATTTGAGTGTATGGGTCCATTGCTAGAGTCTTAAAATGCTGTGAGTAGAGGAGTGACATCATACCTGAGTCCTCTGACAGATTTATTTATTACCAATGTGTTGGCACAAATGAAGGGAAACAATAGAGGCAGAGAAGCCCGTTAGGAATCTACTGTGGCATGCCAGTAATGGGCTTGCTCAGAGATGGCTTTGGGAAGAGAAAGGAAGTAACAGTACATCTGAGGGAAGTTGCAGAGGAATAATTTACATCAATATAATCATTCAGCCAACATGTATTAAACACTATTTGTGGAGCCGGCCTGGTGGCACAGTGGTTAAGTGCACACGCTCTGCTTCAGCAACCCGGGGTTCGCTGATTCGGATCCCGGGTGCGGACATGGCACTGCTTGGCAAGCTATGCTGTGGCAGGCGTCCCACATATAAAGTAGAGGAAGATGGGCATGGATATTAGCTCAGGGCCAGTCTTGCTCAGCAGAAAGAGGAGAATTGGCAGCAGATGTTAGCTCAGGGCTAATCTTCCTTAAAGAAACAAAACAGACAAACAAAAAACACTATTTGTGTGTAAAGCTCTATATTGGGTTCTTGGTGTAAAGGGCTAAACAAGATATGATCCCTTCCCTCACTGGCCAATAGGGGATTCAGGTGAGTCTTAGCTAATCGCAGCTCTCTGAGTTGCAAACACACGCTAAAGAGCAGTGAGAAGGCAATGATAAACTTGTCAAGGAAAGCTTCTCAAAGGAAGTGTTATTTGAGCCAAGTCTTGAAAGATGAAATTATGGGTAAGATAATCAGATATATTCCTTGGTGTTGTCCTTAATTTCTCTCCTTATCTCACACCCCACATTCAGTCTTTTGGCAAATCCAGCTCTATCTTCAAATATATCCAGAATTCGACAGTTTCTCTTCACTTCCATTTCTACCACTTGGGCTAGACTAAAAGTGATTTCCCTGCTGAATTATTGTGGTAGCCTCTGAACTGCTCTCCTTGCTTCTGTCTTTGCCCTCCTGAAGTTTATTCTAAACACAGCTGGTAGAATAATCCTATTAAAAACATGTCAGTTCTTGTCATATCTGTGCTCAAAATCCTTCCATGGCTTTCTGTCTCATTCAGGGTAAAAGCTAATTCTTTACTAAGACTCTGTGATCTGGATCCCCTGTTACCTCTGACCTCATCTCTTAGTGCTGCTCCTTCCCTTGTTCTCTCTGCTCTGGCTGCACTGGCCTCCATGCTTGTCTCAAAACCTCCAGGCACACTCCCACTTAGAGGTTGTTATGTTTCCCATTCCCTCTGCCTAGAATGCTTTTCCCCTAAGATATCCACATGGCTGGCTTCTTTCTTCCTCAAAAGTTTCAGTGAGGCCTTCCCTAGTTACCTTACATAAAATTTCACCATTTCATATCCTCTCTTTTCCTGCTTTATTTTTTTCTCTCTAGCACACGTCAGTACCTAATCATATCATACATTTTACTTATTTATACAATTTATTATCTGTCTTCCCCACTAGAGAATACACTGTATGAGAGCAGAAATATTTTTCTGTCTTGTTTGCTACTCTGTCTCCAGCACCAAGAACAGTATCTGGCACAAAGCATGGGCTCAGTAAATGTTTGTGAGTGATGAATCTTCCCATTGTGCCAGGTACTGTGAGGAGCCCAGAAAATAATCAATTATTACTATAGTATAAAAATCGCTATAGTGGGGCCGGCCCTGTGGCCGAGTGGTTAAGTTCGCATGCTCTACTTCGGCGGCCCAGGGTTTCTCTTGTTTGAATCCTGGGCGCGGACGTGGCACCGCTCATCAGGCCACGCTGAGGCAGCATCCCACATGCTACAACTAGAAGGACCCACAACTGAAAATACACAACTATATACCTGGGGGCTTTGGGGAGCAAAAGAAAAAATATAATCTTTAAAAATCACTATAGAATAGAAATATAGACTAAAAATGTTATAATTCTAGAAGATGAATGCCAGATAGTTTTGACCATGGTTTCCAAACTCTTGTTTCTTTACAAAGTGTTGTCAGAATTAATAATGAGGTACCATCTCCGAAACACTAAGTGTCATTTTTATTTTCTATCAGTTAAGAGGAATTTTCCTTTTCCTTCTCACTCACCTAAATTGTAGCATCAATTGCCAGCTGGAGTTCTGAAACTGTACCTGGGCCTCCAGGATTAATTTATGAAACCCTTTGTGTGTTTTCAGATTTGAGGCAGCCAAGCTTGTCATGCAGTGGCTCTGCAACCATGAGGATCAAAACATGCAGAGGATGGCAGTTGCTATCATTTCCATCCTGGCTGCCAAGGTACCTGAACTTTCGTTGAATAATTTTCAGTAGGCAGCTGTTTCTCATTCTAGTTACTGTTTTTCCCAAAATCTGTTTGCCAGAAATGTCTGTAAGCCTCTCTGCCAGGCTGCTTATTCAAGCTGCATTCACTATTGCAGAATTCCAAGTCGATCAGAGATCGTAGTCTTTGTGACTGTAAGTGGTGTTAGCTCACACTAGTGAGTCTTTGGGCATTTACTTTGTCTTCTGCTCACTTGCAGCTTTCTACAGAACAAACTGCACAGCTTGGTGCTGAGCTCTTCATTGTCAGAGTAAGTCTGTTGTCTCCTCCATGCAGACCACTAGACAGTTTTCATTTTATTGTTTTCAGGCAGCGTTGTGTATCTTCTGACATTTTATATTAAAAAAAATTATTTTTGTTACTTCTAAATGAGTGTATTCATTTCTTTTCATAGAGACAGCTTTACTCCTTATTGGAAATGGAAAGATCCCTGAATTAGGAGTCAGATGACCTAGGATCTAGCTTGTAAACTCAATTTGTGAATTTAGACAAATTGCCTGAACCATTGGGGCCTAAATGAGCCTTAAGATCCTATCTAGTTCTAAAATTCTGTGATTTTGTTATTTATAAAGAAAATGTAGAGACACTGTTATAGGCATAAGATTGTACTAGATGCTTTTGGGAAGAAGAAGATTTAGCTGATATATGATTTTGCTTGCTTACACTTAGTTGTGGAAATAATATAATGAACAGTGAAAAGTTAAGATGCTTTAAAGAGAATAAGTATTAACAGTGTCTTGGAGAGGACTGGAGGCAAAAAGTCCACTTAGGAGTGAGCTTGCTGTTACAATCCTGGCATGGCATGTTTTAACAATAATATAGTAGATGGAAAAGTCAAAGGAGAGACTCCCTTTTTCTATGACTTACAAATCATGTATGTAATGAGAGAGTAAGTCATTCATTTGATAAATATGTATGGAGTATCAACAGGTACCTACCACCTTACTGGTGGTTAGGGATTCACTGAATTGTATCTATAATTCCTGTCCATAAGAAATTCACAGTATGGTAGAGAAAATAGCTGTGTAGACAATTTAATACAATCTAATAAGTATAATAATATAGATATGAATAAAAAAAGTAATGTAAAGAGAGATGGCTCTGGTGGTGTAATGAAAAGAGTAGTAATTCTGGAGTCGACATATCTGGGTTTATTCCGAATTCTGTCACTTACTAGCTGTGTAATTTGAGGCAAGTCAATAAATTTTCTTAGGGGTGATAAAAAATACTTCATACAGGGGCCTGCCTGGTGGCGTAGCAGTTAGGTTTGCACACTCTGCTTCGGTGGCCTGGGGTTCACAGGTTCAGGTCCTGAGTGCAGACCTGTACACCACTCATCAGGCCATGCTGTGGCAGCATCCCACATACAAAAAATAGAGGAAGATTGGCAACAGATGTTAGCTCAGGGCCAATCTTCCTCACCGAAAAAAAAAAAAAAGGAAAGAAAGAAAGAAAAGAATAGAAAAAATACTTTATGCAGTTATTGTGAAGACTAAATGAAAAGGAAAACAAGATTAATTAAAGGAATATATACTAAGTGCCTAACACAAAATACAATATATGTTAGATTAGTAGAGAAGGATGCTGATTTTTACTATTTTCAGGAATGACATTTTAATTTTAAATATGACTTTTTATTGCTATACATGTGTTTCAGTAATTTGGGCTGGAGATATATTCAAAGATTTTAAGAAAGTAGTCCACTCATGCTTTGGGGGAAAATTAAGCTTGGTTTAAGCAGGAATTAGTAGTAGTAATAATGATGTTGATAGCTACCTTTTTTTTTCTGTTTTTAGTTCGTAATTATCACCTGCAATTTACAGATGAGCAAACAAGAATTCAATTGGCAAACAAGGTTGTGAAGTTAGTCAGATGTAGAGTTTCCATTTAAACTCGAGTACCTTGATTCTAGTGCTGCACAATCTTAGCCACTATACTGTTAAGTTACATAATTGCACCTAGATGTTTGTGTTCCCTAAAAATGTTTTCCTGAATTCTATATATCTTTAAGTAATAGTGTTTATTAATGTTTGCTTCTATATGTTTTAGTAGAGATCCCTTTTACCCCCAGAAGTGTAATCTAAAAATGGAATTATGGATGCCTTATGTAGGTCTTAAAACATTTATCTTTCAAACTTAAATTTCTTAGTTTAAAGCTAAGAGAGAAATAATTTACAAATGGAATTTCAAAGCTATTATCTTATTTAAATCCAATATAGACTTAAATTCTCTAACTATTGTATGTAGTTTGTCCTTTCTTTTTTTCTTAAGGAAAACTTGGAGTTAGATAGAACTGGGTCTTTCAGTTCTTACTTTCTCTTACTCAGCTAACCGTGATCAAATTACTTAATATTTCTTAGACTCAATTTCCTCTCCTGAAAAATGGGGATAACATTACTACAATATAGGAAATAATTTGCTGATGGTTAATAAATATTAGCTTCTTTCTCCTTTTCCCCCTCCACTATTTTCATCCCAGGATCTGAAATGAGTGTATGTTATGACCAATTGGGTAAGATACTTGGTCCTAAGCTTTATCATTTTGTTGTTCACTTTATGTACAGGCAATTAGATTATAGGTATTATCAGAATAATATAGAAATATTTATGAAGATCTTATACTTTTTTCTCGTTGAAGGAAAAGTCTGATCCAAGAGACTGTTTGTTGTACTTATGAAAAACATTTTATAGGGAATGTTTTAAGCCATGAGACTAATCTTCATGGACTTATGGTTATTACCACTAATTGCAATAACAATTCAATAAAGAGAAATTAATTCTATTTTCCTTCTTTCAGCAACTTCTTCAAATAGTGAAGCAGAAAACCAATCAAAATTCAGTGGACACTACTTTGAAGTTTACTTTGAGTGCACTTTGGAACCTCACAGATGAATCGCCAACCACATGCAGACACTTTATTGAAAACCAAGGGTTAGAACTCTTCATGAGGGTTCTAGAGGTTAGAATGGGAATTTAGCCGACAGCTTTGACGTTGGTTGATTTAAGCATTGATTTATTATATTTGGTTCTTTAGATAGTTACAGGTTTCTCTTTCCTTTTACAGTCTTTCCCAACTGAGTCATCCATCCAGCAGAAAGTCCTAGGACTTTTGGTAAGATATAAGCATTTCCTGCTAAATTCTAAGCTGTAATTATTTTCCATCTGAGGTAATACATTGAAAGTTGATACTCTATTTATAAACACTTAATGACATTAGAAAGTATATATAATATAATTAAGTGAAAAAGCAGACTATAAAACTAAATATGCATATTAAGATTTTCACCACATTAAAAGGAAAAATACAAATTACACACTTTTCTTTTTATTTTTTGGTATAGCACAAAGCTTCACCGTGAGCATGTTTTATTTTTATAATCAGAAAAAACAGATCTTATTTAAAAATATTGCCAACAAGGGTTCTTAGATGCTATGTTTGGTAATTAACGATTACTGCTTAAAGGACTGCTTAACAAATAAGATATTCTGTGAAGATATTGGATATAGATTAAAATGAGCTCTCTAGGATTTTGAGTCAAAGGTGAGGGATTAAATGTTTTTATCACCTTTAATCACTGCAACAGGCAAAGTACCTACTTGATAAAAGCCATTTTAGAACAGACCTCAGCTCTTGAGGAATGAGATCATAGGAGGCGTAGATTAGATTAGTGAGTAAAAAAAATGTAGATTAATGTTTGTTCTCCGGATGCAAGAGTATGAGATACTGAGCAATGAGAGATGGATTTGGGAAAGGCTGAGGGCTGACATTTAAGGAGGACCTGTCTATTCGCTATAGCTTTAGTTGTCTAAAGTAGAAAATGTAAAAAGACCTAAATGCCTAGTAATAGGGAAGTATTAAATAAATTATAGTATTTGATTGTTTTATTTGGACTTCATAGGATTTTAGATACAGAAGTTGGCTGAAGTCTTCGGAAGAGGAAAAAGGGAAATTATTTTAAGGATTCAGAGAGATCTCATAGGGCTTTAAAATCTTTTTTTTCTAAATTTTAAAAAGGATACATGTTTACTATAACTAGTGAAATAGTGCAAAAATGTATTTAAAAAGTTTAAAACTCTGTCCCCAACCTTCCATCATGTTCATCTCCATGAGGTAATTAATACAACCTCATATGCTCCCTTCCATATTTTTCTCCATTACTCTGTGATTGAATTTTTTTCAATAATTTAGTTTGAGATATTGACTGATTTAATTTTTTGTGGTCAGAGAACATAGTTTGTTTTATTTAAGTCCTTTGAAATTTATTGGGACTTGTGTTGTGTTTGTGGCCTGGAATATGGTCTGTCCTGGTCAATGTTCCATGTGTACTTGAGGAGAATGTGTAATCTGCTGTTGTTCGATTCTGTAAATGTTCTGTGTTCTGTAAGTGTCAGTCAGGTCTAGTTGGTTGATATTGTTCAAGTCTACCATATTCTTACTGATTTTCTGCCTACTTGCTCTAGCGATTATCTATAGGGGTTTAAAAATCTCCAAATATAATTGTGGATTTGTCTGTTTCTCCTTACAGTTCTATCAATTTTTGCCTCATGTGTTTTAAAGCTCTGTGAAAAAAAAGCTCTATTATTAGGTTCAATAACAAAATTGTTATGCCTTCTTGATTAATTGATCCCTTTCTCATTATGACATGACCTTCATCTCTGGTGATATCCTTTACTTTGAAATCTCCTTTGTCTCCTCTTACTATAACCATTCCAGCTTTCTTTTGCCTAATGTTAACATGGTTTATATTTTTCCATCCTTTTACTTTTAACCTATATTTGTCTTTGTATTTAAAGTGTGTTTCTTGTAGACAGCATATACTTTGCATCCTACTTTTTTATCCAATCCTGATAATCTTTGCTTTTTATTTGAGCTATTTGGATCATTTATTTATTTGTTTATTTATTTTATTTTATTATTATTATTTTTTAAGATTTTATTTTTCCTTTTTTTCCCCAAAGCCCCCCAGTACATAGTTGTGTATTTTTAGTTGTGGGTCCTTCTAGCTGTGGCATGTGGGATGCTGCCTCAGCATGGCCTGATGAGCGGTGCCATGTCCGCGCCCAGGATCCGAACCAGCGAAACCCTGGGCCGCTGAAGCCGAGCGTGCGAACTTAACCACTCGGCCACGGGGCCGGCCCCTGGCGTTTGTTTTCTGTTTGTCCCGTCTCTTCTTTGTTTTTTCTTCCTTCTTTTGGTTGAGTATTTTTTTATGATTCCATTTGATGTCCTTTCTTGGCTTATTAGATATTCCTCTTTCCTTTGTTGTGTTAATTATTTCTTTGAGTTTATAGTATACATCTTTAATCACAATTTACCTTTAAGTGATTTTATGCAATTTCATATATAGTGTAGGAACCTTACAGTAATAGACTTCCATTTCTGATCGTCCTTGTTTTATGCTATTGTTGTCATGCACTTTACTTTCACATACGTTATAAACCACACATTGTTATTTTTATTTGAAATCTTGATTATCTTTCAAGGAGATTTAAATAATCTTTAAAATCTTATATGTTTACCAAGTAGCTGCTAGTTTTGATGCTCTTCTTTCCTTTGTGTAGGTCTAGATTTCCATTTGGTTTCATTTTCCTTCTGCCTAAAAGGCGTCCTTTGAAGCTTTGTATAGTGTGGGTCTGCTGATGATGAAATCGTCAGCTTTTGTATGTCTGCAAACACTTTTTTTTTTAAGGAAGATTACCCCTGAGCTAACAACCACCCCCAAGCCTCCTCTTTTTTTTTGCTGAGGAAGATTGGCTCTGAGCTAACATCTGTGCCCATCTTCCTCCACTTTATATGTGGGACGCCTGTCACAGCGTGGCCCAATAAGCGATGCATAGGTCTGAGCCCAGGATCTGAACAGGTGAACCCAGGGCCACCAAAGCAGAGCATGTGAACTTAACTGCTATGCCACTGCGCAGGCCCCTGCAAACATCTTTATTTAACCTTTTTGTTTGAAAAATATTTTTGCCAGGTAGAGAATTCAAAGTTGACAGTACTTTAAAGATGTTGATTAGCTTTTTTCTGACTTGCGTCTTTCCAACGAGAAATCTGATGTCATCATTATCTTTATTCCTTTGTATATGCATGATTTTTTTTCCCCTGTCTACTTTTAAGATTTAAGATTAGCAACAATTTTCAGTAATTTGGTTATGATGTGTCTTGCTGTAATTTACTTAATGTTCCCTGTATTTGGGATTCATGGAGCTTCTTGGATCTATAGGTGTATAATTTTCAAGTTTGAAAAGTTTTTGGCCATTATTTCTTCAAAAAAAATTTTTTTGCACCGCTCCTCCTGCCCCCAACCCATTGGAGTCCTTTGGAGACACCAATTTCTCATATGTTAAGTTGCTTGAAATTGTCCCACAGCTCACTGGTGGTCTTTTAATTTTCTTTATTCTTGTTTTATGTATGTTTCAGTTTGGATGATTTCCATTGTTATGCCTTCTAATTCAGTAATTGTTTCTTCTGCAGTGTCTAATCTGCTGTTAACCCCATCTAGTGTATTTTTCATTCTAGATATTATCATTTTCTTCTCTAGAAGTTCAGTTTGGGTTTGTTTTTTATGTCTTCCATGTTTCTATTTAACTTTTTGGACATATGAAATATATTTTTAATAACTGTTTTACTGTCCTCTGCTAATTTTAATGTCTGTGTCAGTTCTGGGTCAATTTCAAATGATTGATTATTCTCCTCATTTTGAGTTGTGTTTTCCTGCCACTTTGTATCCCTGGTAGTTTTTGATTGGATGCCAGATATTGTGAATTTTACTTTGTTGGGTGCTGGATATTTTTGTTCTCCCATAAAATATTCTTAAGCTTTCTCCTGGGATGTAATTAACTTTTAAACAGTTTGATCATTTTGGATCCTGCTTTTATGATTTATTAGGAGGGTTCAGAGCAGTGCTCAGGCTAGGGCTAATTATTCTGTACTACTGAGACAAGACCTTCCTGAGTCCTCCACACAGTGCCCTGAGAATGAAGAGTTTTTCCAGACTGGATGGTGGGAACAAGCACTATTCCTGGCCCTGGGTGAGTGCCGGGAGCTGCTCTCTACTCTGTTTTGATGGTTCTTTTCCTGCCCTCAAATACTTCCCTCACAGCCGTGCTCTGATCGGTGCTCTGATCGGTGCTCTGCTGCGTCGAGTGGCACTCTCTGCAGCTGACTGGATTTTCCCTCTGGGCAGTGCTCTTCTCTCTGCTCTTCTGTCCTGTGAATTGCCTTGGGCTCCCTGGACTCTTAGCTCCATCTCTTCAGCTCTATGAGTCCGCACTGGGCTCTGCTTCAGTTCTGTATCTTTGTGCCGCAGCCTAGAAATCCTCTCAAGGCAATGTCTCACCTGTTTGTTTTCCATCTTTAAAGGTTACTGTCCTTTATTACCTAATGTCCAGTGCCTTGAAAACTGTTGTTTCACGTTTGTGTTTTTTTCAGTTCTTTCACAGAGGAGAGTAAATCTGGCCCCTTTTACACCATCTTTGCCAGAAGCAGGAGTCCTCATCAATCTTCCATTAAATAGGTTTAAAAATGAGAAATTTGTCTTTTATATTTATCCACATATTTCCCATATTACTCAGTTTTTGTTTGTTTGTTTGTTTTTTACTTTTTATTAAGATCATGATCATTTACAACCTTGTGAAATTTCAGTTGTACATTATTGTTTGTCAGTCATGTTGTGGGTGCACCACTTCACCCTTTGTGCCCACCCCCCACCCCGCCTTTCCCCTGGTAACTGCTAATCTGTTCTCTTTGTCTACATGTTTAACTTCCATTTATGAGTGGAGTCATATAGAGATTGTCTTTCTCTATCTGGCTTATTTCACTTAACGTAATACCCTCAGGGTCCATCCATGTTGTTGTGAATGGGACGATTTTATCCTCTTTTATGTCTGAGTAATATTCCATTGTATGTATATACCATATCTTCTTTATCCAGTCATCTGTTGATGGGCACTTAGGTTGCTTCCGCGTCTTGGCTATTGTAAATAATGCTGCAATGAACATAGGGGTGCACGGGACTTTTGGAATTGCTGATTTCACGTTCTTTAGATAGATACCCAGTAGTCGGATGGCTGGGTTGTATGGTATTTCAATTTTTAATTTTTTGAGAAATCTCAATACTGTTTTCCATAGTGGCTGCACCAACCATATTATATCAGTTTTTCAAAAATTTCTTTAGGGGCCGGCCCGGTGGCACAGTGGTTAAGTGCACTCGTTCCGCTTTGGCAACCCAGGGTTCACTGGTTCAGATCCCAGGTGCAGACATGGCACCGCTTGGCAAGCTGTGCTGTGGCTGGCATCCCACGTATAAAATATAGGAAGATGGGCATGGATGTTAGCTCAGGGCCAGTCTTCCTCAGCAAAAAGAGGAGGATTGGCAGCAGATGTTAGCTCAGGGCTAATCTTCCTCAAAAAAAACAATTTTATTTTAGTGTAGGTATGCTGGCGATGAATTTTCATTTGGTTTTGTTTGTGTGAAAAAGTCTTTTATTTCGCTTTCATTTTCAAAAGGTAAATTGTTTCAGGCTATTGATGTCTAACTGGGCATTTTTTTCTCTTGAGTTTTTGGGTTTATAATTTTCATCAAATTTGGAAAAATTTTGGCCATTATTTCTTCAAATATTTTTTCTTCTTTTTTTAAAAATTTTTTGATGAAGATTAGCCCTGAGCTAACATCTGCCACCAACCCTCCTCTTTTTGCTAAGGAGAACTGGCCCTGAGCTAACATCCATGCCCATCTTCCTCTACTTTATAGGTGGGACACCTGCCACAGCATGGCTTGACAAGCAGTGCATACATTCACACCCAGGATCCAAACCAGTGAACCCCAGGCTGCTGAAGCAGAACGTGTGAACTTAGCCGCTGTGCCACTGGGCTGGCCCCCCAAAATTTTTTTCTGTACCCTCTCTCATGTCCTCTCTTACTGAGATTTCAATTACAAATATCTTAGATTGCTTGATATTGTCTCACATGTCACAGAAGTACCTATTGACTTTTTTCCCAGTTTTTCTCTTCTTTCTTTCTGTGCTTTTGACTTGGATGTTTTCTGTTGCTATGTTTTTTAGTTCACTGATTTTTTTCCTGCTGCATCTCATTTGCTGTTAATCTCATCCAGTATATTTTTTTAAAAATTGGCCCCGAGCTAACATCTGTTGCAAATCTTCTTTTCTTTCTCTTTTCTTCTTCTCCCCAAAGCCCTCAGGTACATAGTTGTATATTCTAGTTGTAGGTCCTTCTGGCTCCGCTATGTGGGACGCTGCCTCAGCATGGCCTGATGAGCAGTGCTAGGTCCCCACCCTGGATCTGAGCCGGTGAAACCCTGGGCCGCTGAAGCAGAGCACATGAACTTACCCACTCAGCCATGGGGCCGGCCCCTCATCCAGTATATTTTTCATTTCAGATATATATATGTTTTTTCTATTTCTAGAAGTTACATTTAGATCTTTTTTTTAATCTTCATTTTTCTCCTTCTGGTATTTTCCTTTCAACTTGAATCATATTTATAACATTTATAGTAGCTGTTTTAGGTCCATGTCTGCTAATTCTGTTATCTCTGTCATTTCTATTCATTGATTTTTCTCCTGATTGTGGGTCATGTTTTTTCCTGATCTTTGTATGCTTGGTAACTATTTTTTTTTGCAGGGTAAGATTGGCCCTGAGCTAACATCTGTTGCCACCTTCCCATTTTCTTTTTCCCCTCCCCAAAGCCCCACTACATGGTTGTATATCCTAGTTGTAAGTTGTTCTGGTTTTTCTATGTGAGCTGCCACCACAGCATGGCAACTGACAGATGGGTGGTGTGGTTCTGCACCCAGGAAGTGAACCTGGGCTGCTGAAGTGGTGAGCATGGAACTTTAACCGCTGGACCATCAGGGCTTGCTCTGTATGCCTGGTAAATTTTGATTGGATGGCAGTCATTGTGAAATTTACATTGCTAATTGCTGGATTTTATTGTTTTCCTTTAAAGAATCTTGGATTTTGTCTGACATGCAGTTAAGTTACTCGCAGATCAAGTTATCCCTTTCAAAGGTTATTTATCTACTTTGTTAGAATGGTTCAGATCAGTCTTTACCCTATGACTGATATATGATTTAACCCTACTACTGTCCAATGTTTTGTTTATTATGAGATCTCTTCACTCTGGCTGATGGGAATGTGAACTATTCCTAACCGTGTGTGGCTTTGGGATTGGTTCATGCACTGCTTTCTGGTGATTCTTTCCCTAGCCTCATGGAGTTTCACCCCATATCAATACTCAACCAAAGATTTGAAGGCATCCCTCTGCAGGTGTCTTTCACTCTTTTTCTCTCTCTCTCAAGCTTTTTCCATTTCAGTACTCTGTTCTACAAATGTTTGCTGCCTTGGCCACCCTGAACTCTGATCTCTGTCTCTTCAACTCAGCAAAACTGCCAGATTCTTTCTCTTTAGATTTCCTTTACATACACAGCAATCTGGAAACTGCCCCATTTGAATACCTTCTCTCAGGGATCACATTCCTGTATAGCCTATTATCCACTGTCTGAAAATAGTTCTCTCATATATTTTGTCTGGTTTTCTGGTAACTTGTTTAGGGCAGGAAAGAATGGCCATAATTCTTTTGATGTTCTATTTTGTTCTATTCTGAGTTTTTCCTTTTTGTGTTTTGTTTTAATAGTGGTGTCTTTGTGTTTTCTTTCTTTCTTTTGAGGAAGACTGGACCTAAGCTAACATCCGTGCCCATCTTCCTCTACTTTATATGTGGGACACCCACCACAGCATGGCGTACCAAGCGATGCCATGTCCACACCGGGATCTGAACTGGCGAACCGCGGGCTGCCAAAGCAGAATGTGTGAACTTAAATGCAGTGCCACTGGGCTGGCCCTGTCTTTGTGTTTTCTCGTGTGTGTGTGTGTGTGTGTGTGTGTGTGTGTATTTACTTTTTTTTATCAGTTACTATCTTGTAGTTGTATTATATGAGGTTCTTGGGGGATCTAATCAACTATTGTTTGTTGATTCTTACTCGTCATGGATTGTTTTCATTGTGAATAGTAATTTAGCATTGTGATGTGTCTTCTGTGGGGCTTTGAGTTCCAGGGGTGTGGGGTCTTTGTCTTTCTTTCTATCAAGCTTCCCCAAGCTTGGAGGAGATGGAGGCCTACTCGTTTGTTTGTTTTAAATGGCATATATTTCCTTTCTTTTTGTGTCGCTATAAAAATGATACATGCTATGTAATTATGTAATAATAAAAAATTAATGTGAAATGCCTTTTCTTGTATAAATATGTGCGATTAGAGAGGGACATAGGAGACCTTGATTAATCATTGATGCGATAGAAAAATACAAGATTATACACATTCATGTAGTGAGTATAGTTAAACTTGTCTCTTCTACCCTCACTCTTTTTCATGGTTGGAGAAGAAAACTTGTTGGTCATTACAAAGAATACATTTGGACATGATGCCTTTCATTTTCATTTCTTATAGAATGATTTAAGCTAGGGAGTGAATAGTCTCTTAACAATGAAAAGACCAGGGTTTTTGGTTTCTAAGAAATGGAATAAATCTGTTAGGAAGAGAATTATGATTTCATAGTAGATCAAATGAAGTTTTAAGAATAAGGATTAATCTTCAGAGTGCTGAGATAAGTTAGATCTTAGATCCTTTGGGAGATCAATCACAGTATAAATTGGAAACCCCTCAGTTGTTTCCCCTGTGAACAGAGGTCTTCCTTATGTACTGCCTGGGGAAGCCACCACACCCCAAATCCAGATACCTACCTTCTTTAGGCCAGCAGGCAAACTTTGGCATTCGGTGGAGGTCTAAGGCTATGAAATTTTTAAGACATGAGATCACTATATTGCTCAAACAAATGGATGCTTTTTTGTCTTCATCTTACTTAGGCTCTCCACATTATTCAGAATTGGTAATCTCTACGTCCTTTTGAGACACTCACCCCTCTCTGCTTTCTAGAAACAAACTTTCCTGGTTTTCTTCCTACCTCTCTTGCTGTTGCTTTTCAGCTTGGAGTTTCTCCAGACCACACAGATGGTGTAAATTTGAACTACAATCTTGCATGAGGGCAGGCCTCTGGTTGTAAATTACAAGGGAAGACTTCTACTTTTAGGCCAGAGCCCAGGTTATATAATAGGCTTCTTTTTCACGTATCTGTGCCAGTCGACTCTTTTATTGAGGTTTAACGCTTTGAAAGTCCTTGCCTTGTATGCGAAGTCTCAGTTCCAATTTCTAGCCCTTACCTTCTGCTCTTGCACGGCTATTAAAACCCAGTTCTCTTGCTCCTGCAGGTCAGTGATGGCCTGTTACTGCTCTAGTTTGGGTTTGTTTGCTTTTTATCCCAGCAAATAAAGTTAGATATTTAAAGGCTGCTAGCTATTTTTCACCCAGCATTTCTACATATGTTATAGCGGTAAATTTTTAGGTTATCTAGTTCACCATTTTGCCTGAAAAGGAACCCACTACTGTTTCTTTATTTTATTGTTTGGGGAGGAGAGGAAAAAATCACCCATAATCCCACTGTGTTAACACAGCAACAATCTTCACCTTTTGTCCATATGCAGCTACATGTTTAAATCATTGCAGTCTCTGCTCTTTCTTAGAATGCTGGGGGTCGTTTAGCCATTTGCTAAACATATAACTTTGATTTTTATGTCTTCTTTTTTTTCCAGAACAATATAGCTGAAGTACAAGAATTGCACTCTGAATTAATGTGGAAGGATTTTATAGACCACATCAGCAGCCTTCTACATAGTGTTGAAGTGGAAGTCAGTTACTTTGCAGCTGGAATTATTGCCCATTTAATATCTAGAGGTGAACAAGCTTGGACTTTGAGCCGTAGCCAGAGAAATTCTCTTCTGGATGATCTGGTAGGGTCATTTTGTGATTTCTGGAAGCATATAAACAACATTTGTAGTGGTTAAACTATCAAAACCTCATAATGCAATAATGCAGTGCTAAATAAATGTTGTAATCCTTTCTTGTGTCTTGTATCTTGCAGCATTCAGCTATTTTGAAATGGCCGACTCCAGAGTGTGAGATGGTAGCATACAGGTAATTAGCAAGATAATATTAAGCCAGTAATCTAGTCATTTTGCTTGCCTAGAGATCATTCCTACTGGGTGTATAGTTTTTCCCTGAGGCATCCATCTTTGTATTGGCTTTAAAAAAAGTATTTTTACTTTTTTCTGCTACCTATCATTCCTCAGTCCTTCGTTCTACAGTTTTTGAAGACAAGTGTCAGGGACTTCTTTTATACTCTTGAAATTCAAAGATGAGTAAGACAGTGCCTGCACACAACAACCTTACAGCCTAGTAAGGGGAGACCAAATGTGAATCAGGTATAATTCACTATTGTACTAGTTATATGAAAGTGCTACAAGAGTGCTATGAAACTAAACATTAGATACTTAAATCTGTCCTGGAAAATCCAGAGGAAGTGGATTGTGAGCTGAGTTTTGAGAAAGAAGTAAGGGCAGAAGATTTTAGGAAGAGGATACAATGTATTAATGCAGAGGTCTAAAAAAGGTGACATTGAAAGAACCAGACACCAGATTAGTTTGAGGAAACAGTTAATAAAAATTTATGAAAGTGCATACTGGATTCCCAACTCTGTTTATGACAATTAGGTGACTTGATAGCTATGTAAGTATTACGCATTGCTGCATAAATATTATTACAACTTATTTTTGTTGTCTACTTCATAAATGCTGATGCCGCCAACGTTTTTGATTCTCCCAACTTACGTTCTATCCATTTTGGGGCAGAGGACCAGTGGAATGGAAAGGCTAATTCTAGACCTTCATGGCGTTCTACCGGTTAATTATCAGCTAACTTCTCCTTTTCTAAGTTTCCAAACCAAGTTCTGCTGTTCTTCAAGTATGTATCTTCAAGACCAAAAAAGTACTTTGGAAAAAAATATTTTTTTCTGGGCCGGCCCCGTGGCCAAGTAGTTAAATTCGTGTGTTCTGCTTCGGTGGCGCCAGGATTTTGCTGGTTCAGATCCTGGGTGCAGACCTAGCACCACTCATCAAGCCATGCCGAGGCGGCATCCCACATGCCACAACTAGAAGGACTCACAACTAAAAATGTACAACTATGTACCAGGGGGCTTTAGGGAGAAGAAGGAAAAAAAAAATCTAAAAAAAAATTTTTTTTCTGTTACTACCATGTTTTGATCACTTTCCATCTTCTGTCCCAAGACTTTTGTGTGAATATGATCCTTTTTCAAATGGCTAAGACGAAGAAAAGATGTTCTATAGCTCATTTACACTAGTTTAAAAATAGTAGAATGTGGTTTCTAGAATGGAATTATTGTGTTAGGAAATAACACTAAGTATAAGATGTAACTTTTATTCTTTCCTTTTGACCTTTAGGTCCTTTAATCCATTTTTCCCATTACTTGGCTGTTTCACGACACCAGGAGTCCAGCTGTGGGCAGTTTGGGCTATGCAACATGTCTGCAGCAAAAATCGTATGTACCAAAAAGAGAAATTTGTCTTTCTGTTTCAAGTGAAATTCTCCTTACATGGGAAAGCCATTTCTAAATTGTGTGTTGAAGTAAGTTTTAGGGACGCAGACTTTAAACAATACAATGTAAGAGAATTTTAGGTTATAAACTAGATTTATTCTTTCAGAATGAAAGAATGGCAATACTAGATACCGAATGACACTGGTGAATGAGACACACTCTTTTAACCTTATGGAATATAGAGATTAGGAGCCTACAGTGAGTCCATATGTTGAGCACAAGGTCTTAAGGAGATCCAGTGTTTATGGTGCATTCCAGTGCCCAGGCCTCATCCACACTAAATTCCATTGTTTAAGACATTCCTGGGGCTGGCTCAGTGGCGTAGTAATTAAGTTGGCACACTCTGCTTCAGCAGCCTGGGATTCGCCGGTTCAGATCCCGGGCATGGACCTATGCACCAGTCATCAAGCCATGCTGTGGTAGGCGTCCCACATATAAAGTGGAGGAAGATGGGCTCAGATGTTCACTTAGGGTCAATCTTCCTCAGCAAAAAGAGGAGGATTGGCAGTGGATGTTAGCTCAGGGCTGATCTTCCTCAAAAAAGTAAATAAATAAATTTTTTTATGTTAAAAAATAAATAAATAATCAGGAACAAGGAAAAATAATTTGAAAAAACATTAAAGGTTTGAGGGAAAAGAGTAGAAATAGAATGTAGATATGTAGGCTGTTCATGGTGATTCATATACTTTTTTGTGGCTGGACTCCAAATAATCAGCTACATGGCTCTCTTTCCATATAAGGGGGAAAAAACATTCCATATCCTCAGATGGAAGTAAAGCTTTTCTGAGCAGTTACCTACAAATTAAATTCCTTTTATAGGACCTTAATAGGGGCCATATTGTAAATGGCCTTATATAGGAAATATGAGAGTTGTTTTTTGGGTTTTTTTTGCTGAGGAAGATTCGCCCTGAGGTAACATCCATGCCAATCTTGCTCTATTTTGTATGTGGGTCACTGCCACAGCACGGCTGCTGATGAGTGGCGTTGGTCTGTGCCCGGGAACTGAATCTGGCCCACTGAAGTGGAGCACACTGAACTTAACCAGTAGGCCGTGGGGCTGGCCCTGAGAGTTGTGTTTTTTTGTTTTGGGGGGTGTTTTTTGGTGAGGAAGACTGGCCCTGAGCTAACATCTGTGTCAGTCTTCCTCTCTTTTGTATATGGAATGCCACCACAGCATGGCTTGATGAGCGATGTGTAGGTCAGTGCCCAGGATCCAAACCTGCAAACCCTGGGCCACCGAAGCTGAGTGTGCAAACTTACGACTACGCCACAGGGCTGGCCCTCCAAGAGTTGTTTTTAACAATAGTCTTATAGCAAATAGCAGTAACATTTTGTTAGATTCTTTCTTGTTGCATTCTTTGATGAAAACTCAGTGTGTACCACAAAAAGGCAAGTCAGCAAAAGGTCGTCTGTGTCAGGTGGACAGAGGAGGAGGGTTTAGGGAATGGGATGTGACAGAGAAACTGCTTTGTAACCACCTGAACTTCCACCTGGCAGGGTTTCTGGCTGCTCTTACTAAATTCCCCACAAGCAGAGTTGTTTGTTTATAACGTAAGACTGCCTCATTAGCCTCATTAAACTGCCTCTGCACTAAAAATTATCTTCTTGTGCTGAACCCACAGGTTGTGAGAACTCCCTAGTTTATTAAGCCTACCCCATCTTATGCCAAGCCTCTATAATCTCTAGCCTTCTGTCCTCATTACTCAAGGATGCACTTTTACAGTTCCATAGGAGAAAATAAAAAATAATAAGTAGATAATAGTGCTTTTTCATATAACTGTTTATTTTTGTTAATACTTGAGGTATTGCTATTCTTTCAAGTTTATTCTATGGAATGACCACCCTAAAGAATTTATTCTAAAATGCACTGTAATTGGGGGAATGTTAGAATATTTTATCTCAACTCAGATAGTTCAGGTTCCTACTTTCTTGCCCTCCTGGCTTGTTTTGTTTATATTTAAATGGAATTTACTTCTCACTTTGCTTTAAAAAGTTTTAATGCCGTTTATGGCTTTTAATGATTAAGAGATACTATTGCATAGTGATTAAGAGCACACAGGAACCTACCTGGATTCAAATCATGTTCCAGCACTTACTATGTATGCCCTTTTGAGAAAATTATTAAGCCTGGGGCTTCAGTTTCCACATTTGTTAAATGGGAATAATAATAGTGCCTATTTCATACATTATGATGAACCTTTTCCCATATTTTAGAAAGTTTTTGACACTGTCATTTGTAACAATCACATAATCGTTACTATATGGTGTGTTAGTTTCCTAGCGCTACCGTAAGAAGTACCACAGATAGATGGTTTAATACAAAAGGAATGTCCTCTCTTGCAGTTCTGGAGGCTAGAAGTCTAATCAGGATGTCAGCAGATCCATGCTTTCCCTGGAGGCTTGAGAGGAGAATCCTCTTTTGCCTTTTCTAGCTTCTGGTGTTTGCTGCCAATTCATGGCATTCCTCGACTTGTAGATACATCTCTCTAGTCAAAAGGCCGTCTTCTCCCTGTGTGTCTTCACATCGTCTTCTGTGTGTGTCTGTTTCTGTGTCCATATCTCCACTTTTCATAAGAACACCAGTCATATTGGATTAGGGCCCACCCTAATGACCTCATCTTAACTAATTCCATCAGCAACAACCCTATTTTCAAATAAGGTCGCATTCTGAAATACTGAGGGTTAAGACTTTAACCTGTCTTTTGGGGGTACACAGTATGATCCATAACGTATGGCTATCCATTTATTAAATGGACTTAGTAATTTATGTAGCCATTTCCCTATTGAACATTTAGGTAGTCTACCTTTTAATTTTAAAATTATACTCAAATGCTTGTTTTTATAGAGATATTCATGGCACCATTATTTATAATAGCAAATAACGAAATAACCTAGAGGTCCAGCAATAGAGAAATGTTAGATAAAGTCGGAATATTCAGACAGTGGAATATTTGCATGTCATTATAAGTGAAGAAGATATGACAGAAAATTATATAAGCAGAAACTTATACTCTGGGCCATGACAGAATAACTGTACCAGACTAGCCCTCCAGCCATAAATAATAGAAAACTGGAGGGGAAATTTGAAACAGTTTTTTTCTAGACGTTAGACAAAAGACAGCAAGGATTCCAGTCCCTGAAAGCAGGAAAACAAATAAGATGAGCTCTACAGTCTCCCTGGCTTTCTTCCTGGAGGCATTTACCAGACCAGGCTTAGGGTGGGGAAACCAAGTATAGCACAGCAATTTCATTGACTCCTTGAACTGAGGAGACAGAAATCAGAGTTTGGCAAGACTGAGGTGCCTGGAATTTGTGGGATAGAGTAATGCAGAGGTGGTAGCTACATCTAGAAAGAACTCCAGAAATCTTCATAAGGGTTTCTTGAGTCTTTGACTGAAACTAAGCTGTGCATGTCTAGGGTGAGACTCCTTGAGGCCTGAAAAAGAACAAATACCAGGAACTGCTGACTGAACATTTGGAGGTCACACAGGGTTGGGAAATATTCGAATTCTAAACAGTAGAAAGAACTTAGTACCCAAGGCATTCATTACAGATGTCAAAAGAACTAGAAGAGATTAAACTAGCCCCCAAATAAAGGCTTCTTTAGGGCAACCCTAACAAAGTGTAAAAACAAGTCTTGAAATGGTCATGCTGCTCTGCAAATAAACTATCTGCCAGCGGAAGAGTGTGCACTTTTTTTAAAAAAACAACACAATCTAGACAGTCAACAACATGTTTAGTATCTGACAAAAATTGCTAGATGAGGGAAGAAGCTTAGAAAATGTGACCTATAACCAGGAGAAAAATCAGGCAATTGAAACAGACCCAGAAATGATGGTGATGATGGAATTAGCAGAAGAGAACTTCAAAACATATATTTATAGATATAATCCAAGATTTTAAAGAACAAATGAATAATAAGAGGAGAAAAAGATAAAACAGAAGTGCTACAGCTAAAACTTTAAATATTTAACATGAAAAATATCCACAGGAACTTAATAGATAACACAGAAGAAAAGGTCAGTGAAATTGAACAGAAACTGTGCAAACTGAAGCTTAGAGAGAAAGAAAGCTGAAAAAAAAAAAAAGAAAGAACACTAGAACTACCCTGATAGCAATACCAGGTAAAGACATTATAAGAAAAGAAAATTACTAAACAATCTCTCATGAACATAGATGAGGAAATTCTTAACAATTTTTTAACAAACAGAACCCAACAGCTTATAAAAAGGATCCCGGGAGGTTATTCCAGGAATGCAATGTTGTTTAACATTTGAAAATCAGAGTTTTTCATCCTGCTACCAGACCGGGAAAGAAAAGCAATTTGATCCTCTCAGTAGATACAGAAAAAGCATTTGACAAATGTTGGCATACAGTCCTGATAAAGAGCATATAAGGAAATCGTACAGCTAACATCAAAATTAATAGTGAAAAATTAAATGTGAATGTTTCTCCCTATGATCAGGAACAAGGCAAGGGTGTCCAGTCTCACCACTATCGAACATTGTAATGGAGGTTCTGTCCAGTAGGATCAGGAAAGAAACAAATAAAAGGCATCCAGATTGGAAAGAATGAAGTAAAGCTGTTCTCATTTGCAGATGACGTGATTATCTATGTAGAAAAATCCCATGAAATCTGCAAAAGGGCAACTAGATCTAATAAGTGAGTGTCTCAGGGTTCCAGGATACAAGATCTATGTACACCAATCACTTGCATTTCTGTATACCAGCAACAACCAATATAAATGGAAAAGTGACATTATAGTTGCATCAAAAACTATGAAATACTTAGGCATATATCTGACAAAGATGTGCAAGACCTGTGTGCTGAACAAAGCATTACTGAGAGACGTTAAAGAATGCCTAACTAAATGGAGAGACCTACCATGTTCATAAATTAGAAGGCTTAATATTGTTAAAATGGCAATTCTCCCCAAATTTGCT